CTATTGGTTACGAGAAGATTCATGAAGACTGCAAAAAGGTGTCAAGTCTCGGAGGGCCCTCACGGGGCACTGGGAAAGCCGCCATCAGAGACAGTGGCAAAAGTCGTGAATATTTGACGAGGACAGTGGCCAAGCAGCCTAGCCGTTATTCATACACTACTCAGCGTTTGCCAATCCAAGCGGTGCCAGGCACGTGAACGTAATGTGCTTCGGGGTGACGTTTTCTCTTTTTGAAAGTATTCGTTTCTATTCCACTTGATTATACACACCTCTTGCTTGGTTCTATGAATATTGGACCATTAATATTCTTCTGCTTTTTTTTTTCATTTCACTATCGTGCATTATCATTATAGTATGTTTCGACTTTTTGACACTTGTAATTCAACGTCACATCGAGACGAAACAACAAACAAGAATATTCTAAAGAAAGGTTGAGAATGTATCTGCTGAAAGGCCAACATTTTTGTCTTTTTTTAATTAATATTTTCTGTGTGGTTTTTTAAATTAAAAACTATTTTTACAACCTATGCGTCTTAATACATATCAATTATGATAAAAAAATCATACCAATGTCTTCCCTCTGTTGAATATCTTGGGGGTGTCTAAGGTATGTCGCTAAAAACATGAAAATGTCCTTGCTACCACCTTAACAAACTTAGCAGCATGTCTTCCCAACTTTACCATTTTAAAAAAATTAACATGTCCTCGCTGCCACCCTAACAAACTTAACAACATGTCCTCGCTCACATCTAAACTTACTGAGGACGCACATTCTGGTCACTCGACAACGCTCCAAGACGCGATTTTTGGGGGCTCAGTGTAATTATTCAAAACATATTAGTTTTTAAATTTTGTTTTCTTTATCTGAATCTTTAAAAGGCATGCTTCAATAATATGCTAACAATGGAATGTGCAAGCTCGTATTTCTGATTTGTGGTTAGAAATATGCCGAAGTGTTGGCTTTGGTCTGCTCCTGATCGGGCGTGTCATGTGTCTGGTACGTCTTCAATGAGTTAACAAAGTTGAAGGCGTGAGCTTGTAGCATTCTACCACAAAGGAAGCTCGTCAACGGAGTCTGTGGCACAGTGAAATACTTTCTATCGTTGCAAGCGGTGTGAGTCCGGTTCCTGGGTGAGGAAGGTTTGTTTTAGCTAGCTAGCTAAATAGCTAGATAGATAGATAGATAGATAGATAGATAGATAGATAGATAGATAGATAGATAGAGAGATAGATAGATAGATAGATAGATAGATATCAATGTCTTTTCAAAAACTTTTGAATAACTAAAGTACGTCACCGGAACAGGTGAAAGAATAGAAATAGATCACAGTGATATCTCCTGAACAAAAAACAAACAAACAAGCAAAACAAACCAAAATTATACAACAACAAAAAACCCAGAAACTTTTAAAATCACGAGGACGTGTCTTTACGTGATCCTTAAATATTGAATTTAAACACAACAGGACCTGTCATCAATAAGTTTCGTTGTTGTCCTCTTTGCTCAACTTCAACGTATATTTTTTTCCCCGGAGTGATGGTCTATAGAGAGGAAACAAAAATATTTTTCTCAAACAAATGTTAACAAAAGTTGCAGACTTTTATCAATAGCTGCTTTACAAAAAATCCTTTTAAAATCATTGGCCTGACATCATATGAAAATAGAGACGAAAGCTGACGACAGAACATGATTAGAGAACAGAAAAGGACGTGAAAGGAGAAGAAAAGAGAAGAAAATGTTCCCGCTGCTGTCAAGTTTCGAATCCGGGATCAATCGAATGACAGGCGAACACCGTGCGTACCTCTGGACCACGAGAGCCCCTTCCTACAGGTTTGATATTTGCCAGCAGTTTGTGAACCCTGTTACTGACCCAAACTCCTAGCTTTTGCTCGTCGTCATGCTTATACTTGCCTATTCTTGCAGCACATGTCGAGTTTCTGATGGGTAACCGTTATGCAAGTTCGTTCAGGAATCAATCAATAGGGTGAAAGTAAACATGAGGCCGTAAAGTAACATTTTGTTCTTTTTGTTTAGTTGGTTTAAAAAAATTAAAAGTTAGTTGCCTGTAACCTTAAACACAGTCGGCCATCTCTAAATCGTGTTGTGTACGGGATCACACGGGGTTTCATTAAACAGCGAATCCTTCCCCGAGAAAACAAAAGGGTGCATTATGTCTTTTTATCAAGACAGCCCACTCGTGCATCCGGTCAACAGCGCACTCACGACCTCGGAGCTCTCTGCGAAGAATGTCCGCCAGGGGAACTCCGGAATGACCAGTATGTCGTCATCGCACGCAGTATGTGGACAGCATCCAAACAAGTGGCGGGGGCCGGAGATGAGACGTATGGGCAAGCAGTTAGTCTCATTCTCCTTCGAGGTCGTTGTCTGATCCGATGGCATTGTTCAGCAAGAAGATGATCAGGGTGTTTAAGATCTCAGAAAGCCTTTGATAGAAGGG